CATAAAGATTTTGTGCACGTACACCTGCACGTTTTGCTTAGCCCTAATCCTCGAAAGCGTCATGCGAGCTCATTGAACACTACAGACCCAAATACCCGTAATGATGAACCGTCAACTGTCGATATGGTTCAGGACGAACAAAGCCTCCATCTCCATAAACTAAGGAACCAAAGAATCTCTCCAACCGATACCACAGTCATCAACCTTCAATGACACACAGGAGTTCCGCGATAAGCCCTTGAAACAGAGGCATATAAATTGAGCATAGAAACACTTATCTGGTCCAGATCCGTCTGTAGTCGATTGTTGACACGACCATCTTCTATAGAACTGTGCTTGATATTCTTGTTCAATGTAAGCCAGCCTCAACTGAGTGCCACCTCTCTTGACGATCATGCACAGACACGAGTGATAGTGAACTAAAATGACTTAACTGGAATGACCACAGCCATTGATACCTGACCTACAACAGTGTCCGAGAGCTCTCTACACACTGCCATTTATGAAAGTGGGAAGCCATTAATTCGAAATATAAATCTCAGCGGCCAAATGACCCCGGAAGCTAGACAATAATGACCTGATATGAGTATTGTCTCTCCTTAGATGTCGAAAACACACTTTGACGACAAAATGCGCACATGCACTCACACACCACATACCGCAACTAGCGGAGTGGCCCCTAATATCCATCAAGCAACTAGTGAAAATGATAAGTACTATTTGGCTCACACCACAATCCGAAGAATAACACTGCTAATTTCAAGCCTCTAGTTGTGAATTGAAAACCCTCAAGTGTGCACAGTATCCACTAAATTGCAGCGTATCGAACACGAGTCCCCGGATGCCAACTGAAGAAGCAATATAGACGAAGTAATATCATTGGATAGTATGCAAAGCCAGTGCTCGTATCACGACGAGTGAAAATTAGGATCTCATGCGATTCGCATGGATCTGGTATTTGTGGCATCCGCCGACAAAACCATACCCATCACACTCTCGCCAAACTAATACCCCGTTAAGTACATAACACCTCGTCTAAGATCTACCGCTAGCCATCCACTCCGCCATCATGTGAGGTAAGCCGCACCCCCTCCATGGATGGCCTCCATCAGGCGCTGGATTATTCAGCATCAATGCATAGCTTATGCATCCTGAGATGACCCTTCTTGTATAGTTTACCCCCGTAGACGAAGAATTGAGCAGCCATTCTTCGAATTGCCCTCTTATTTGTTGGCAATTACCCAGATGGATAAGTTTCTTTTCCAATAAGTTCCAGATGTCGAAATACCAGGGGTTTTGATCTTGTACCTCATCTTTGGCAGCAACAGCTTGTAGCGCGCACAAATTTCTGTTTCAATGAGATTGACGCATCTGGACTCCAAAAGGGATGTCTATCAATAGAAGATAGAGTTGCTAATGATACAGCAAACTTGTTGTTCTCTCTTAACAGTGAGGCGAAGTTCAGTTTCTCAACAACAGAAATCAGAATGTCCAAGGTCTGGTGATAATTCCCATCTTTTCTCTTTAACTTTCCAATCTCCTTTAGCTTGAGTACAACAAGTTCGAGTCCCCGATGACATCCAACCGTTTTGCCTCTAGTTCAGGGCGGCTTCTAATCCAGCAAATACATGCCTCATACTCTGCCTCATTGTTTGATACTTGAACCGGAGTTTGAAAGTTAAGGGTATGCGGGAATTGTCGGGCGCTATCGACAAACTCCTATCCATACCAGTATTGGTTTGACGCTCCGTCAAAGTACATCGTCCAAGTCTCTTCTTCGACATGCAGAATGGCCTTGTCTGGGAACAGAAATTGTACTGCTTCATCCCCTTCAACTGGGTGATCGGCTTGGAACTCTGCTACCGCTCTCCCTTTCACTGACTTGCACGTCATGTACTTCTGATCAAATTCGGAAAACAGAAGTAACCAACGAGCTAGCCTACCCATAAGTGCCGATTTCTCGAAAGATATTTGATGGAATCTAATCTCGAAACCAGTATTACAGAGTGAGCCAACAGGTAGTGCTCAACTTCCTGGTAGCCATACCAAGGCCAGACAATCCTTCTCCAGCGGAGTGTAGTGGGTCTCGTAATCCAGCATTTTCTTGCTCAGGTAGTAGATAGCCTTCCCTCCATTTTGTCCTCAGACTCCTGTGCAAACATGCAGGCCTATTATCGTTTCGGTCATTGATAGGTATAGAATCAACGTTTCCCCAGCTCAAGCGATGAGAACACAGGTGGTTCTGTAGATTTACTTGATCTGCTTAAAAGCAAACCTGGCATCGCGGTCCCATTGGAACTTCTTTCCTTTTTTTAGGAGACCAAACAGTGGTCACACAGTCAAGGTTAATTTTGCAATAAACCGTCTTATGAATTGCATTTTACCCAGAAAGCCTCGCACCTCCTTTTCAGTCCTTGGTGGTGGCATTTCTAAGATGGCCTTGATTTAGAAGATCAACTCGAACCCCTTTGTGTGATCAAGAACCCCAGCATTTTCCCTACTGTAACACCAAATGTCATTTTTAGAGGATTCAGTCGCAACCGATACTCTCTGATCCGTTGGAAGAATTTCTGTAAGCAGTGCATGGCCTCTCTTTCCTTGGACTTAACAATCATGCCGTCCACGACACCTCAACCTCTTAATGGATAATACTGTGTAAATCGTGTCGCAACCCGTTGATAAGTAGGCCCAACGTTCTTCAAGCCAAACATATCACCCTATAACAACAGGTTCCCCACGGGGTGGAAAGCAGTCTTCTCCTGTTTTCGGGTGCCATTAAATCTGAATTGTAGCCTGAAAACCATCCATGAACAAGAGCAATGCATGCCTAGCAGTGAAGTCCACTAATTTGTCGATATGCGACAGAGGAAAGTCGTCCTTTGGACTGGCTTTTGTTCAAATCCCTGAAGTCCACACTTACCTAAATTCCTGCCGTCCTTCTTTGCACCGAACTATATGGCCAAACCAAGTGGGTATTCAATACTAATAGGAACCCTGCGTCGATTTGCTTGGTGACCTCTTCTTTGATTTTCAGAGCCCAGTCCGGGCGGATCCTTCAGATCTTCTGCTTAATAATTCCAGCCTCTAGGTCAAGAGGATCCGGTGCTTGTAGAATCTCAGATCCGATTCCAGGCATGTCTTCATAGGACCATGCGAAAACATCTTTGAAATCTTTAATAAAGTGACTAAGCGCTCGCGCTCCTCGAAACAACGTGACCCGATCTGGACCAGCGCGCGGGTCCTTCTAGTACCAACATTAATTGTGGTGATTTCATCAACCAAAGGTTTAATACAAACTCTCCTGCTCTTGATCAAGCAAGAATTTCAAAACGGAGGAATTTCTTTCTCATCGTTTTCATCAAAATTTTGAGTCTTGATTAATGCAATAAATTAAAGGCAAAAAAGTACTCAGAAGCCCCATCCCTACCATTCTATTAATAACATCCAGTCCTCCTGATTCCTCTGTTATAATTGACTCAAGGAAAACGAAAAAGTCGGCCTGGACAGGACTGTGGCATCCGGGTTATCACCCCCAAGAATACTAGACTCAGACTCAGACTCAGAAGAGCTAGAATCTGATTCCAACTCCACAGACTCAGTGGAATAAGATTTTGGCTCACTATCTGACCTGGAACTGCTCAATAAAAAGCCCTCCTCGTATTGCTAGACGAGGGAGGGTGCAATGATGCATCGAGAATGCCTGAAGATGGGCGCACAACCGCTTCATCCCAATCATGGAAACTGAGAAGTTATCCCCCAAGCACTCTGGTACGATCTGAGGATCTGAGAGGAGACAAGCCAGCGCTACCCCCATCTCAATTTTTGTGCTCTCGAATTTCCTCCTTGCAATGCTCAGCCTCAGTTGTTGGGTCTGTCTGCTCTTCGACAACTTCATCCCCAGACAATTGAAGATCAAAAAAGATTTCGAAGCGGCAAATGTCACTTCTCTGCATTCAACCATGGCTCTTCAAAATCGCAAAATGAAGAAGTCTTCCCCCTCCTGGACAAAGCCCCCGTTCAGGGTTCCCTGGATAGGTCAGTGCACCAACTCATAATGCTTTCCGGCTTGCTTTGCCGTGGTCTTCCGACCACTCTCTTCCTTTCGTCGTCGAATCCTCTTTTGGTAGGCAGACAACCTAATCCAAAGGTATATGGGTTATGCGGTACTTCGGCCGATGCTGCAACGGCCCTTCTGGCCACTTTGCTCCAATCCCATCCTGGGCATGTGCTGAAGCTTGTTCATAAGGATACACAGACTTGCACTGACTTATAACCCTCATCACAGCTAGCCATTATCTATACAACCCGGTTCTCAGCTAGGCGTGATATCCTGACAACAAATACATCTTTCGCGCCATGTCGCTCAATCTCTGGACATGGTGTAAAAACTCTGCGCGGATGTATCGACGAATCCCAAAATGATTGCCA